GAAATTCCTGTAATTGAGACATTGCTTAGCATTGATCCTCTTATCCAAACCTCACCCATCACAGAGCAACACGAATGCTTTCCAGGGACCTTCTTCCCTCAAGGAGGAGGAAAGGAGAATAAGAACCTGCAAGGTATCCTACTCTTCTCTCAGGGTGACCCGCAGTGCATTACCATCCTCCCTGTTGTCCCGCAACGCAGTGAGTCACCAATTTTACATGACTTAGTAAACAGTCTATAGGCCAGCACAAGAATCAAGAAACTTTATACCATCTCCATTCAGCTTGGCTTCACCAATAAGACAAGTTACTTCTGGTTTTGTGATATGACTTCCGAATTAAAGTTATCAAATTTGAAGAGGGATACCTTGCTTGATATCCTTTATGATACATGACAAAATATATAAGGAGGTACTTATACTTCTGTGAAGGACGAATCTAGAGAAGGGTGGAAGGGTAATTTTGAGTACTGTGTTTAAAGCGATAACCATGCTGCTATCTAGTGGTCCAGATGAGAACTTCAATTCTCGGATACTTTCAAGTGCAATTGAGGTGCATTGGATCGTGCCATCTGTTTGATATGGAATCAATGATGGGAGGGCTATATTAGGCAGACAACGCTTCGCTAAATTTGGCAATATTGGCAAAGCAATTTTGCGCGCAGCCTATATATGCCGAATTTAATTGCAAGCCAACCTGGAACCTTCATTGGGTCTGTGTCTTTTGCCAATGATGCGCCAATAATGTGAAACCAGACTAGTCCCATGAATGGGCCGGTTCCTTTTGCCAATGTAATGCCAATAATGTGAAACCAGGCTGGAGCCATGAATGGGTCCGTGTCGTTTGCTATTGTTACGCCAATAATGTGAAACCAACCTAGTGCCAAGAAAGGGCCAACGTCCTCCACCAATGAAGTGCCGAAAAAATGGCTACATGAGCTAGAGTCAGAATTGGGCCAAACATGCCTTCCAATGCCGATGATTGCCGAGGTTGCCATGCAGGGGCCATTGTTGTGCTAAGCTTTTTAGTTATGGGGGAAGCATTCAGTTTCAAAAGAGAGTGTGTGCTCTTTTCTGCTCTAAATTTTCACTTTTTTATCCCATTTCCTTTCTCCTTTCATATTCCCAGAAAGTGGAGACATTTGGATGACAGTGGAGAAGCTCCCCAAAGTGTATGAAGGGGAGCCACCCTCCTCCAGCAATAAAATCTTATTCCGAGGCAAGACAAAAGTGACATGGCGGAGGCACACAATTATCATGTTATGGTCTGTGGACAGGCTAATGGCAGGGTTAACAGAACTTAGTCCAGGTAAGATATGGGTCATGGTGTCTCTCTCTTCTCACTACCTTCATGCAGTGCCAACATGTCATATCCTGGTGGGGGAACCAAGTGGTACAATGTACAAGAGCCATAAAACTAATATCTACAGTGAATATATATCATGTTACGTATGAGGTAATGTGCAACAAATGATAAGTGGATTTAAAAAATACCCATGTCCCAGCAATGATTATAAAATTCCAGGTATTGGCAGTGTGAAGCTGCCATTAATTATACATGATTTGGAGGGCAATATCTTAGTTCTAGCACTGATGATATCTCATGCGAACAAGATAGTGGAATGAATTTTATTTTTATAACTCTTGCATATCTCCCATTGAGAAATCCAGATTTAAGCATGAACTAAAGTCACACTTTTTGCAATGCTCTTCCGTAAGTGATTTTTATAAAAAAAAAAGGAAAATAGGACATTCATGAATATTGGTGGAAGGGCAAGTAAACTTTTAAGAAAGGGAGCACTGAGAAGGACCAGATTGGAGAAATCTCTCACATGCATTCCACGACATAACCTGCAGCTAAGACTACTGAACTGTTGGAAAGCCAAGGAGCTTCTGGGAGGTGGTATTCAAATGTACAGGGTGTCCCATTAAG